CTTTACAGACAGAAGTCGCAGAGGTATTAGTTGTGGTAAGAGTGACTAATTGAGATACAGCCAAATAAAAGCAAAACAGGAAAGTGCAAATAGAGCTCGCAATTACTTAGTTATAATTAGTTTGCTTATAAATAAGTTAAATCTGAATCACGAAGATGTTTGAAATGAATGAGGTTTCATTACACGAATGCCTCTTTAAATTGCCACCCTGAAATGAGGTACATGCATACTTAACTTGATTATTAACTTCCAAACATGCGGCCACTAAAGTGCTAGACATACATTCACTTTAATTTAAAGTTCATACACTTTCAAAACTCGCCAACTCTCAAATCGTTTAAAGTTATTGACCAACTAGCAGACAGTCCCGTGAACGGACAAATCACACTTTTTCTCTAGTAATTGACTCAAAATTTAACTATTGTATAAAAAGTTGCCTATGCGAGCACACGTGGAAAACAACTTTACATTTCACAATTAGATATTTCGTTTGTTTGCTATGTTTCCTTTGTCACTGTAAGCGCGAATTATATAAAACAATATTAAGTTGCGCTGGTCGACACAAGATACAAATCTGGTAAAATTGTTCTGCGCGGTCAACTTAACATCAAAGCGAACAATCTTCGCGCTAATTTCATTCGCTTCAGTTACAACCGCATAAACAAAGTCCAACCGTTCTGGTCACGTACACGTGAATACTTATATAATGGAGGTTCTAAGCCAGTTTTTGGCGTGAAAACCGGAAAAATCTGACTATAAGATTCGTTTAGTGGAATGTGACATTCAGCTGCTGTGTTTAACTGGTTGCAGCATTCACAATTAAACATTTAATATGTAGCGGATTAGATTTCAAGCTGTTTAAAAAATGTATCTCCCTCACTTGCTGTCATGAATAATATGTTATAATCGTATCTGCTTTCCTCACCACAGTCGTCAGGATAGGGTGTAAACACGCCTTAACGCGGTGTTACACTGGATATGCTAGTTCCAAAATCATCCTGTAATGTTGTGTAGTAATTGGTAACTTAATATGCTAATTCTAATAGTGCTAATAGAGCTGTTGGGGTGGTAAATAACGTTCCCTGCGAGAAAATTAAAACAGATCGCGTTACAGCACAAACAAACCGAAAGTGCTGAAATTAATTGCACCGAATCCTCCTAAGTGAGTCTTAGAAACCTTAAAAAAATCGAGATGGAACGGTCACTTTGAACCCAGGAAGTGTATACGCAAACAAAAAGTGATTTAAAAAAGCTTATTAGAGTTACTGAACTGAAACATGCATAAGAGCTCGCACACGTTCGCTGCACTAACCACACAAACAAAAGACTTTTCATGATCGTAGAGTAAAAAACGAGAGAACACAATGTGGAAGAGTTTCAGTTTTCAACCGGGACGTTGTTTCCTGTGCCAATTATGACATTGTGAACACGAACACACATCCTGTAGCAGGAATGATGGTAATAACTAATTGGGAAGGGAGGTATTCTTCAAAACACTCCATACCGCAACTGTTTAAAGTAGATTAGAGTATTAATTAACATGGAGACCAAGCGTAAAGTGGATTCCTTAGCAAGGACCTACTGGTCATTAGCTTCTGGAATGTCAACTAGAACACATAAAAGAGATGCAACCACACTCTAGAGAGTTACCACTTATTTCAGACAACTTAATATATATATAGGTACCCCGTGTCTAGTATCTTGGGTTACAGGCTAATTGCACCTCAATTAAGACTCAATAAGACAATACTCACGTGCGACAAAGGCACGTTTTTGTGAAAGACGAAAATACATATAACATGAGAGAGAAAAAATATATCAGTGTAACAAAAAAAGGGTCAAAACCCAGGCTCCACTAAAAAAAATTGTTTAAATATGTATGACCAAGCACAAATGAACGCTCTGGAGCCGCAAAAGAATGCATTAAGTGCTAGATACACAGTATTAAAGATACACAAGCAGGTATGAAATTTACATGCATAGAAAATGACATACATTTGTGAGTATATAAAACCAGTTCCAGAGAAAATACAGGCTTGAAGCAGTAGATGTCACGTTAATAGTTAATCCGAAATAAAACAAGCTTTGATGAATGTCTGAAATTTGAGTAGGACGTCTAATAAAAGTGCGACTGGTGGAAATCACATATTTATCATAGAAGAATTTATTTTCGTTGCGAGCCTTACAGCATTTCTCTTTTAGTTAATTAAAAGCAGCAGCAGGTGGACCATCTGTTTTTATTTCATCTGCCTGACGCAAATCTGTCAAAACGTCAAACGCACTGCTTGTTATAAATTTAACCATCTTCGATTACTCCCGTGTTAATTTTCTCTGTTGGAAGTGTTGGCTGAGTCAAAACGGTAATTTTATTATTGATCGGTGATTTCATCTCCTCATCTAAAATAAAATATTTATTGACTAAAAGGCTATCAGTTAATGAACTTCGAGCTAAAGTGTCTTTTTTCAAGTAATAATTAAAGTTTAGAGCGGCGTTAAGAAGCGTTTTATACCGAAACGAGTTTGGATAAATGGAGACTAATACCGAACCCCCACTTGCACTTTCTAGTATAACTCAACAAAAGTGTCTTTACCAGTGGCGGAGAACTCAGTCCCTCAATATAGCAGGATTTTCTCAAACGCTCAAAACTGTATTCATTGTCGCATCTTCTAAACATATGTTATTATTATTTCAAGTATTAACACATAAGTGAGATTGCGGGGCTAATTTTGTTCTTAAGGCACCAAGGTTATTGTCGTAAATTGTAGCCCCAAGAGTTTTCTTTCAACAAATTACACTAATTAATGCTACGATATATGGTCCCAAAACCTCAGTAACAAGAAGGGTGGCGTCTGGATTACGAGCACCCTTCCTCCTCCAAGCCAGATATGTATTGATTACTGAATCAAGATCTAGAGAAAAGATCCCCAAGGAAAAAAGATTTTGTGCAAGACTGAACCTCGCAAATACTCACCTATTATGCAGCCTAAGCCATGGTAGGACCTTAAACTCGCCAGCAGAAGAGACACCTTTACCTTTAAAGGGAAAACTTGGATATATCATGCCTCGTGTCTTAGGTCGAAGTCCTGTATAGATAAGGCTAACTCAGGCCTTTCAAAGCCTGTTCAATACGAAGGGTTATGTAACAATGTAGAAGCTACTTCACACTTGGCTCTAGTCTTTTGTTTGGCTTCCCTTTCGGCCCCGGGCACTGACAGTATGATATTTGATCAATCTACTCGTATAATTCCGCCGATGTCTACTATATTGCACCTTGGCGGATGGTTAGCGAGCTAATTTCCCCCGGACCTAACACAGGCTCCGTTCAGACCGAGGTGCCGATTTCCTATCAACCCAGTTCAGAGTTTCGTTGCTTTAAAAGCCCTCCAGTAACGAGATGTTTATGACTGACGTTAAACCCTTAGCTGTACCTTCTGACTTCAAAAAGGCTACAACTTGTGTGCTACCGCGTACGAAAATTCGGCTACCGCGTAGTCCCGATTTAAAAATCTTCAACTTTCAAGACGTATTATTCACTGGTAACTGGGTCACAATATCGTAAACGTTGTCTTTCAGTGTCAGAAGTTTTTGTTGAAGTCGTGTTTTACTTTACCCACTTTAACTGCAGGTGTAAGTGGAAGCAAGTGAGAAAAGTTGGCAGTTGCATTAACCTGCTTCTGAAACTGAAAGTAAGCTCAACTTTCCGCTTTAAAAGTCACAAAATTGAGATGTGTCGGGTTAATATTGAATATATATCATTTTAAGGTCCTTAACTTGTTGGCTGAGGGTTCCGCGCTACCGTTCCATGTTACGTCTTTATTCGCGCCGCCACTGTTATTCAGTTGCATATTTCTGCGTCGTTTTTATCACCCAACTTCGCGGCACAACTCAGGATTGTTTCATTAAAACCATTGGAGTGAATTGGCCATGTCGCACTCGTATGTACGAGCCTAGAGTCGGTCGCCTTCGCATCAAATTGTCTTGCGCTACAACAGATTAAAGTAACGGCTGACTTCGGACGTTCAACCGTTCCGAGAAAATTGCTAATTATCATTTCCGGGAAAATAACAAAACTTTCCCGCTAAAATCACCAAATGGGGCGCTCGCTAAGTTTTTTACTGGCCCCGGACATGTTTACTAAAAATACTGTCAAAAAAGACAGCTCATTTTTAAATGTACCCTCATAAAACTGTCGGTTCCAACTACGCCATAAACATGAAGCTCTAACACTGTGTTTATTTAAAGCTGGAATCACGTAATTGAGGGCACAACAAAATTATTTATCACCGGCTATAAAATATCAAACAGGGGCTATTACCTTTTAGAGGTTCAAGAGTATGCACTGGACATCTGCCGCTAAAAAATTAATGCCAATATAGTGCACCTATATTTGCTTATAATCAATTTTGGCTTAACCCGTTATACATAGTATCAACCAAACACACACATGAAATAAATATGAGCCAAAAATGTGGCAATGTGGCAGTTACGGTTAGTACAGCTGCGGATGTTTTGCGACCAATAGCTGATTCGTAGGAAACGCGGTAGCAAAAAATTCAAAAATAAATACGAAAACACATGAAACAATACTGTGTGTAAGCAGAGACGTACCGACCACATTAGTTTTACTAATCATATTAAATTCAACAAGCGGAATCCCCTGCGCCTTTGTTTTTCAGGAGCAAACTTTTGAAATTGAATATGTACGTCATAGTTACTCCCTTTTGTGAACCTATTTCCGTCGCACGGCTTGGTTAGTTTGCGGTGATCCCGTCCCGATGAACAGGATCAGAGTACATTAATTTACAAGCGACTTGCATTCAATTAACTGCATCTGTCTTGAGATTTATGCAGCAAATTAGCTGTCATCTCAGATTGAACAGCAAATATCAAGAGATACTAAATTAGTTTATAACACAGTACACATACGTGTGAAATACATCTAAAACAACCAAAAAAGACATCGTGTCACGAAATCAATACAAGTTCTAATGGAACTTACATATTATCTTTGGAAATATCCTCTGGCAGGAAATTGCACGTTTCAGATGGATCAGATTGTTCCGTTGCTTTAGTTCCTGAAAAGTACGGGGGTGGTTTTAAAAAAGACAAAACGTTGTAAATAGTTTTGCACTATTGTCATTCAAGAATAAGATGTCTAGAAAAAAACATAAAAATATATGTATATAAAAGCAGCTCAATCAAATTTAAGCGAAACGTGCAAGCATTTTGGTGTCCAAATAAACACACAAGCGTAAACGTAACATTAAGGCGACAATAAAAAATGAATGACGTACTAAAACTACTAAATATTTAAAATATGTTAACCCTTTGTGTTTATTGATTTTGCTAGTGTAAATTTAGACAGGCGGGAATATTGTGCAGCCTGATTCCATATTAGCTACAAATTAATAATAAAAATGTACGTTTGTGTTGAGATTATGTTTGCTCTGTACAACAAATATTATCAAAAATATGAAACGTGTTTAAATTAATGTTAATTAAGCAAATTAGCAATTTAAATTATCGTTCCAATGTAAAGCGGGATTAATAAATTATACATTCAATTTGTTTAAAAAATATTCCATTTTGAGGTTATTTTACAATGAACAAAATTTCCCTATTCTTCATTTTGAAAATTAGAGCGCCCACCTAAATAAATCAAGTTATCGACGACATAAACGGTGTGAAGATTTAGTAGTGAACGAAATTGACTGACAAATTACACTTTGAAAGATGAAAAACACTTTAAAACTTCTAAACTGTTCTCAAATACAGAAAATATATTCGACTGTTGGCATGAAATCAGATAAACATCCACTTTAAGTTTGTTTATAGAAAGAGAACAAATCGATAAGCCTAAATAAATTCTGTTTGGAAGTCCGCTAACAACGAATTATTTTCAGCCAATTATAAGGCTGCATTCTTTTCGGCAACAAATTCCACTAAGTGACTCCGGTCTCGCAATAATTTCACGTTGCCAAACAGTCAAAAGCACGAGCTCTATAATAAAAAAGTTCCTTTACAGAAAAACACTACCTCTAATTTAATCACAAGTAATTTGCATCTTTACCTTTCCAATTAAACAAATTACTCTTATAATGTTAGCATAATAAACTTCCCAAAAACGGCAAGTCCCAACTGGCACTTTGTCGTCACAAGGGTTAAAACTTTAAAGCTGTTATCTATAAGCTGTAGAAGGAAACGCGCTTAAAGTGTCGAAGAAAGTTGTGTTATGATCCGGCGCATCCGCCAAATATACACCTACAATATTAGACAATTTATATTTATTGAATTGAATTTATACACAATGCAAATCAAGGTTCAAATCGTTTAAAAACAAACAAATAAAATAGTCAATGTTGTCATTAAAAATATTCACAGTATACAGAACTTCATTATAACTTCTACACACGACGTTAATTGGTGAAAACGTATGATTATTCGTTCGTGAACCGCTAAACGAAAAGTTGGCGCATTCCTTGAGTACATTAAAACAAATTTCAAGCTACAAATTAGGACGGCGAATTAGACTAGAAATTAACTTATGCGAAAATGTCACAGCAATTATTTATGCTTTTCGCAAGTTAAAAATATTATTAACAAGATAAACTTCTATCGATACGTCGTGAAAGTCGAGAGGAATAAAGTTTCTAAAAAAGAAATGAGACGCAAATGATACGTTTGAATCCTGTGCTTACTTTACAAAAGAAAATAATTTCACTTTTGCAATTCAAACAAAAAATTATTAGCATTTTAATAAACCCGTCAGGAAATATGACATATTTCAAAATTGTTGTCAATAAGTTGCATAATTAACACACAAAGTTTTATGTCCCGACCCGGCGCATCCACCAAATGTAAAACTTTTTTAATTAACAATTAAATGACTCATTTATTCACCCACTGCGAGCACGTTTCCTATAACCTGATAGTTATTTACTTTTTACAAAAGGTAACATTTATCGAGAACCGATTTTAAAATCCTTGTAAAATTGCCAACTAAGTGCTACAAAGTATCTTGCTTAACACTTGCGTTGGGTTTTACATTTATCACAGTGACTCGGCAGATGTTTCCTAACTCTGCGCCCGAAAAATTACCAAATCGTTTAATTAGACAAGTTTCTTAAGTCAAATTGAATAATATTTCAGTGTTATTACCGAAAGCGGCACGTTTTTAAAGCACTTTTTAGTGTTTATAGCTGGAAATATCGCAACTAAATTAGATGTCATACGTAATCGGTTTTGCGTAGTTTTTGTATTGTCGTTCGACTTTTAATATTAACAAACGTAAACGTCATTGTTTGTAGAGTATACACGAGTAATATATGATTCCGAAGGGATAACATTATTTTGAGGGAAAAGTTTTATTTCTCTTAAATATTGTTACAAATACTCGAGGGAGCCGTTTAGTAGCTGTTGCTAAATGCTGGTAGCACGGTAACCGGTAGAATGATAGTTTACGTGATTGGGGCTGAAAAAGAAGGCACTTTTAAGGGTGGTTGCTGGTAAACATTTATTCACAACTGGAGACGGAAAACATGTTGCATTCACTAACGACATGCACATACTATTGTTAGATTTAACAAAGGAATCGATGATATATTTTTTAAAGAACATGTTCATTCAGTCGTATATCTTGAATGTAACAAATTAGATAAATTGAAAAACCATTTCCTTTAGTTTTTTTTATCTTGGCAGACTTTTTCTTTTGTTTGTTTTTTTAGTTTTCTGGAGGAAAATTATTCTTTTTATCCTTCCAGCGAATGGCTACTTTGACATTTTCTGGATTACATGGTCCGCAGAGTACGAAACAATAGGCCTCTTGTTTCCGTCTGTCTGTCGTCTGTCTGTTGTCAACAGCGAATCTCCGAAACTATTAGATTGTTGTCAAATTTTATCAGTGTTTTAAGAATGTCGTGAAAATAGTAAAACGGTAACCAAAATTGGCCTAGTGATCCCCGCTAATAATGTAATTACGTCACTTCAAAAGTTTCGTAATAAATGCGATTTAAATTTTGTAAAACAACAAACTCGTTTTAAGTTTTTACCCTAGACATCTAGTTTTTTGAAAAAAAAAAATTGAGTAACATTTTACAATTTAAGTTTGAAACTGCAAAATTTTGAACGCCTTAAACTTATCATAAGCATGGTATCTAAAATGTGCAAAATATTTATTCTGTATTTATTCGAGTATACTTTGAGGAAAGTTCTGCGTAAATAACGTTAAACCAATTTTCGTTTCTTTTAGTATTCGTTTACTTATCGAACAGTATCTACAGAAATTAGTAAAAAGTGCCCTTTGGACAAATATTTCATTTCTTATTTTTCAACATTTCGAAATTCATAGAATATGAAAATGCAAATTTCCTCTCTCAATATGCCTCTATATGGTCTATCGTTCGTCTTAAAATATTTCAATCTTCTTAATTTTCCTATTTACTCGCTTCTGTTCTAATTTTTGCAACTTTTCTTTTTCATTTTTTCGTCCTCGAACAATCTTAGAATTCACAAGTGCAAGTTTTCGCAACTGTCGAATTTATTGTTTAATTCTTACATTGTTTCAAAATATTATTCAGTAAATATCAGTGTAAATTATAACAAAAACTCTGACAAAGATAAGAAAATTTATTTATTGACCCCTTCAAAAAATTTATGACATCACTATTTCCTTTTATTTTTAATATACAGAGTGAGTCACTAAAAGGGCTATCCTCAATATCTCATTACTTATTAAAATAGAAAACCCAAAGTCATGTTTCTTTGAGTACAATAAATTGAAATGATTCTCAACTATACAGAGTGTTCTCTTTTTAAAACGTAACATGGAACTTACTTTTTAAATGAGATCCACTATACATTTTTGCATACTGTGATTGGCCTCATTATAAGCTTTGTAACCCTGGTCTACTTTTGAATTGTGGTGCGTTGTTGCCACGTTATTCCACTTTTATTTAACTTCAGTTGTATTTTATTTTATTAGAGCATCTGACACTATTTTTTCTACTCTTGCTTTCTATATAACCTATTAACTTTAGATACTGAAAAAAAAAAGAAATAAAATAAAAAACCGTCATATGTAATAATTTAATACAGGGTGTCCTGTTTGAAAAAACTGAAATATCGATATTTGAAAATTGTAATATTATTTAAAAAAACTGAAATGACGTGGCAACGCAGCATCGAAATCGAAATTTTAAGAATGTACTACGTTTATTAAGCCTAGGAAGAGGCCAGTGAATCTATTTAAAAATACACCTGACTATTAATTTTCGAAGCAAATCTTTGTGTTGGTAATTCTGAATTATTGGAAGCAAAATTTTGAATATGTTGCCAAAATGATAAAAAAATTATAATCATCAATAGCCGAATTCTATGTGTTTTCAAAAAAAAATAATTTGTGTGTTAAAAGCAGGATACTCTGTATAGTTGAAAAATAATGTTTTTCTAAACTTTTCTTTTCTTTTCTATTTAGTGCGTTTAGTGACTCACCCTGTATAACAATTTATTTTTACATTTTCTTAGTGCCTTTTTGATTATTGATGGTGTCCTTTGCTTTGACTTTAGAATTTTTAGGTCCCGTTTAGATTTTTAAAAATGCTTATCATTATTCTACATTTTTTCAAATGAAAACCGTTCTGTACAGTCTCGGGGGCACCCAATTGTCGTTTTTTTTTTTAGAATGTGAAATATTCTCGGGGGTCCCAACTGTCTTTTTTAAAAATGTAAACCTTCTCGGGCGCACCCAATTGTCTTTTTTTAATGTGAAACCTTCTCGGGGGGCCCAACTGTCTTTTAAAAATGTAAAACCTTCTCGGGGGCATCCAATTGTCCTTTTTTTTTAATGTGAAACCTTCTCGGAGGTCCCAACTGTCTTTTTTAAAAATGTAAAACCTTCTCGGGGGCCCCAAATGACTTTTTCTAACGTGAAACCTTCTCGAGAGTCCCAACTGTCGTTTTTAAAAATGTAAAACCTTCTCGGGAGCGCCAAATGTTTTTTATTAATGTAAAACCTCCTCGAGAGCAGGCAATTATCTTTTTTTAATGTCAAACCTTCTCGAAGAAACCCAATTGTCTT